ACTCAAACACTCAAGTCCAGATTGGGACAACACAAGGGCTGGTTTGCGGTGAATGGCCCGCAGATAGATTCCGTAGACTGTCGATCTTTCATAGATATTAGCAGTGCACAGTCTTTAGCCAAGGGGAATGACGTGGGTTGAATATCGTGTCTGGCTCAGCAATGTAGGGAGCACGCAACACGTCGAGTCCGCGTGCGCTCCCTACCCTCAGGAATGTGTGCGGGAATCACTGCAACGACCACTTACTGAATTACACGGGACTGAGTTACCCAGTGTTAATTGGCGTTAATTGGGAGATAGTTGTGATCACTACCCCGTAAGCTGAAGATGTCAACTCCAGGCACCACTTGCCAAGAGATCGCCATGTGGAGTAGAATCCACGACAAGATGGAAAAGGAACAAAAACATGAATATGTTCGGATTCAAATTGTTAAAAGAACTCAGGAATGACACAATATGAATCATCAGACTATCCATGGACACTTTTTAGTTACTTTTTAGTTACTTTTAATGGAATCATGGGACATGTTCCAATGGTTTATCCATAGTCGAAGCTAACATTCCATCGAGGCATCTGGGTTGTCTAGATAACATGTACTTAAGATGATTGTAATTTTGCATGAGGACAAAAGTCCAAATGAAATTATGGTTGGATGGTGACAGGGTGTGCGAAGTACTCCATCGGAGTATACGAACTAAATTGTATAAACTATATTGTGCACATGGGCACCTGGATTACCTGAAGTACAGCAAGAACGAAATGCTTTTAATTCAAAAGGCGCCGCATAATGGGTCGCATTAGGTGCTGACATTGAACATGGCATATGTGAAGTGAAATAAGATATCTACATTCATTGCATGGGCTTCGACATGGGCTTGATGATGCCCTGCTTGATCATGACACGAGGCTTGGTGCCACTCTGGAAGGTTTCTTTCGTAGACCACTCGGGGCCCAGGGGCAACCGCAGGGATCGTTCGTACTGCTGTTTGGTCTCGAACTCATGCGGCAACTGGCTGGCCATGTACTTCTTGTTCTAGAGTAAAAAGTTAGTGAATTGTCCGTCTTTGAGTGTGGGAACAAGACTTGGCTTACCTTCTGTACTCGCTTCTGGTTGATAATGACCCGATCAAGCTTTGCGTCCTTACGCTGATGGGGCTTCACACCCGCCACAGTAGTCAGGTCTCGCTTTTGCTTCTTTTGCTGTCTCTTGCTGACACCTTCGCCGGCCCAGCTGCCCCAGCCCGGGAGTGTGTTGTCTACAACCTGGTCACCTTCGTCTTGGACGGTGTCCATCTTATCTTGTTCGAATTCTTGGACAACTTCATCGCCGGCAAAGGCCCTCTTCACGAGGTCGTGGTTCTTAAGCAAGACGGGCACCTTCTCCTCATCATCGCTGTCATTCTCGTCGAATTGTTGTTTCGCGAGGGTTGCCTTGGCGTTCTTTTGCTTCTTGCTCTGTTGCTTCGCCGGGGCAACCTCGGGCTGAGTAGCATCGAGCGAAATGTCAATGCTCTCTTGGGCATCTGGGGCGGTTCGGCGACGGTTGGTCCGTTCTGTCTGAATCAACCAAGGGTTCTCCTCCTCCGTGGGAGTATCCTTTTGCTGATCGGAAGAGTCACCTGAAGGTCGTGAAACCTTCTTGTTGCCGGAAGCTCCTGACTTGTGCTTGGTAGTACCATTGACAACAATGTCAACATCATCGTCTGATACTGCTGCATGTGCGGCTTCATCGTCAGAATCTAACTTTTCCTCGAACTCATTCTTGGGCAACTGCTTTGCGACAGACTTGGCGTCGGGCTTCTTTGATTGACCAAACTTTCGTCGACCGACCTCCGACTCTGCCTCAGACAGAGATTCCTCTCCGTGGAGTTCACGGTTGAGTTGGCGAAGCTCCGCATCGTTCTGTTCTTTGCGGGCGGCATCGGCATTTTTCATGAATTTCATTTCGAAAAGGTCAGCATGGCGCCCTTTCACGACATCCCCAGCATCATCACCGCCCTCGAGGGCCTTGAGCTTCTTCTGTATCTTTTGTCTTTCCACATCGGAACCCTCCTCGTTCCAAGGGTCCTCATCTTCTGAATCGGAGCTTGAAGAGCCCAGGTAGTCATCGTCTCCATTGGAAACACGCTTGCCTTCGATTCTCTTCCGTAGCTCCTCCTCTCTTTGGGCCAAGTCGGCTGCACTGTTGCGGGCCTCTTCGTCCCAAGCAGTGCGACCGGTCTGTTTCAAGCCCTTGGCCCATTTGCTTTCACGATGCTTGGAACCCATGCGAGCCTCGGCTCTCAAACGCTCGTTTTTCTCCTGGTCCATCTCGTCCATATCCACGCCGGCTTCCATGAGTGCATTTTGCTCCTGTTGCTCCATCTTCTCGCGCTCTTTGCGGTGAACACGGCGATAAGACTTGCTCTTGATCTTCTTGATGCGCTTGGCGCGCACTTCCTCTCGGAAAAGGAGGTCACGTCGCTTGCGGAGTTCTGCGCGACGAGCCTGGATCTCTTCGATAGGAAGATTGCGGGCCTGTAATTCCTCGAAACTCTGAATCTGGTCCTCGGCTGACTTGCCTTCAGCCTCAGCCAGTCCACTCTCCTCAAGGATGTTCTGGATGGCGTTTTCAAGGTCTGTCTGCGGCTTGGCAGCTTCCAAGCGGTGAGTCTGCTCAGCATCAGGATCACGTAGTGGGAAGGAAAGGTGTTCGGCTCTGCGGTTAGCTTTGACGGTTTCGAGCCATCGGTTCAAAGTCTCCTTGCTCTTCTCATAAGCAGCAGTCCGGTCAAGTCGGTCCTGTTGGCGTTTTGCTAAAGGAGCATCTAGCTTGCCAGGAATGCCCGATTTTGATGCCTGGACAACAGAGTCGATATGTTTGAGCGAGCTCTTGAGACGGGAGTCCGTGATTGAGGGTAGAAGATCGGCGACAGTCAACTTGTTGGCAGATGTCAACCCGTATTCCGAGGGCTTGCCTTGTTCTTGTGATTTTTGAGCGCGTTTCGTCGGTTTTTCGGTCTCCATAGACTGGACAAAGTCTTGTAGTTTCGAAAGTCCGTGCGGATCCGCATCGGCATCGTCGTCCGAAATAGAAAGCCCGTCGTCGCTGGTATCGCTTTCACTGTCCCCCTCTGACCCAGAATCCTCGTCGCTATCGTATTTCGCAGCCCGCTTGGCTTTCTTAGCTGCTTCTTGGGCCTCTTCCTCCTCGGCCGCTACATTCATATCCCAGGCGGTCGCGAGATCAACGGCGTCTTCTCCTAGGTCATCATCCTCGTCGTAGTCTTCACCGTCGGATTCTTCCTCCGACTCGTCGACATCCTCAGACAAGCTGATCTCTGTAGCCTTCTTTGGCTTGGGTGCCGCTTTCTTCGGTTGAGATTTGGACTTGGAGGCGCGGAAAGTGAAGCCCTCGAATCGCTCTTCGTCGCTCTCGCCGAGAGCTTCGTCGCTGTCCAATTCGCTGTCGTTATCGCTGTTCACTTGTCCAAGTGTCCATTCATGTCCCTCACTGTCGCTGCCACCATCGAGGCTTCCGGTGTCCTCGGTTCTGCGGCGTTTATATTGGGCGGCGGTATCCTCCTCGTCGTTCTCGTCGTCATCGCCGCCAGTGTTTCTCTTGCGGTTGAAGGTGCCATCATCGTAGGCTCCAAGACGACTGCGCTTAACACCTAATCTAGTGTGAATTGTCTGCTCTGCAATAGACAGTGCATTCTGCGACCGAGTGCTTTTCCGCTTCGGCGCTGATTTTCGCGCCGAGCGGTCCTTCGGACCCTGCTTCTGAGTCTGGCTGCGAGGCATAGTGGCGTATAAGTCAAGAAATCAAATTCTTGACTAAGAAAAAAGCTTCAGATCAGTACTAAAAAAGTACCAAGTGATCTGATGGCTGCTTTTAAGAGGGGTGTAGATGGTGTTGAACTTTTTTTCTGCCGGGAAAAAAGTTCTCGGCGCGGAGATTAGCGCGACCCGTTCATTCGTCGAGTTTTGTCTTCCAACTCCCACCGGGACAACTCGACTCGCTTTATCCCCTTTCTGTTCCAACTTCGAGGCTATAGAACTGTCGCCATAATGTTCAAGCCCACGCAGCCAATGATGGTGCGTTTGCGCTTGACCACCAAGCAGGTCAATGGTGGCTACTACAAGGGAAACCGGACCGGCTCCATGGGTCACTTCGACAAGAGAGGCACATACAGGCCTGATTTGACAAAGCACCGTGTGTATATGCCTGCGGAAAAGCTCGAAATTCCCGGGTGGCGTTACACCGCTGAGACTGCGAAGGAGCCATTCACCGTGAGCATTCATAACCATTTGATACCAGTTGACCAAGATGCGGATTTGCTAACATGGCTATAGCTCGCCCCCTTCATCACAAAACACATGCGCAAGACACCATCGAACTACGTTCAAGATATCGAGAGAAATGGCCGAAAGATTACCGTAATCAGAGGATTTGAGGGCAAGGACTATCTGGAGAAGTGGGCCGAGACCGCTGAAGCCGAAGAGGCCCGACTAGCACAACCCTACACCGAGAAGACCAAGAAGATTGAGACCAAGCCGACGCCGCAGATTGAGCAGATTGAGAACCAAAAGCTGGCCCAAACGCCGGAGACGCCGGAGACGCCCAAGCCCTCCAAGACCCTTTTCTAGGAATCCCAAAAGACTGAAACCGCATAGCGGGGATTGTCTATGTTTTCAACTGAATTGGGTGCGCCTACCTAGGCGTTTGAGAGCACTCCCTAATCTTTATGCTAGCGGCCCAGCATACAACCACCTTCGCTGGGCATCACCCAACAATTTCATTGATCAACCTCTCCGTTGATTGAATATATCCCATGTATTATAGTCTCTACAACATCAACTTGATTTGGACCACGGAGGAGCCCGAATGCATCGGTGGACGTGTACCATTTGGCATCGAGACAGGAGCAATTGTGTACTATTTTGACAAATTCCATGAATATCAGATTATAAAGAAGTTCAAATGGCATATCGCCTCGTTTGGCATTTGTTTGGCAACATGTCTTTTATCCATGTGTCTTCTAGTATCATTTACTTGAAAGCTGTATGGGTAAGAACCATTTAATTTGCTAATTTGCCAATATGTTTGTTGTATACCAGGCACTCTACTCAACTGTCAGCTTAAAGTCCAGAATGTTCCGGTGGCAATTCGAGTGGAAAGGTACCTCACATCTTGAGGTGTGGTCCGTGCTCAACAAGTCCGATAAGCCCGCCATGCTCTACCGTATCGGCAACCCAACAGGGACGGCGATGTCATAGTTCTTCACCTTTTCCCTTTTCTCCCCCACCAGTGACGCGGGCTTATGTTGACTTGTTTCTCTGCGTCTAGAGCGTTCGTGTTATCAGACCTGCTGGCTATTTCCCCATCAGGCAGCTCCTGCTGCAACCATGTTTCAATCCTTCACTGGCAACTCTCGTCGCCCGCGGCAGGTGAACCTTAGTGGCCGGGCCACTAATCCTTTCGCTGCATTTCCCGGAAACTCGCCGACCAGACAAACACCTCATGCTGCAAACCCCGAGAGCGCAGTTGCCATTGCCCAACGAGAGCGAGCACTGAGACAGCATGAGAGAGATCGACAGACGGCATCTCGCACCGTTCAGCGAGTTTGGCGGGGTCACTACAGCAGGCAAGCAACATATAAGGGCTGGAAGTCTGAATGGGATACCTTTGAGTGGGAGAGGGTTATCCGTGCCCTGGAATTTGACGATAATCGGGACCCAACGACGGAGCTTGAGCGTCTGGAGTGTCTAGCACGTCTTTCCGCCCCACCATATCCCACAGCGGAACAATGTCTGGACCAACTCAGGCTTCTAGTTCAGTTTGTGGGACTGGTAAGAAAGAAAGAAGATGTTCTACGTCTCGTATACTTCTGCAATGTCTTTGAGCAGACCTTCCATGCTCTCCCCACGATCGCTACGGAAAATGATTGGACCGAGCTGTTGAAACGGCTGGCAACCGCTATTCTCCATGCTCTCAGCTCAGCAACGGAGAGCCCGACTCATGAAGCAGCAGTCCTGCGTCTTCTTCGGACGATAGTCTTCCTGGTTGACTTGATACCAAAGAAGATGGCAACAATTGCCAAGCACTACTATCAAACGATGGCGTTTTTGACGAAGAACATCAAGCGCTGGGAAGGCACCCTGTCACCGGAGAATGTCACGAATGCTGTTCTCGCTCTTCTGAGACCAATCACCTCAGAAACGATGACAGCCTATGAAGCTCTTGCTATGTCGTATCTCACCATTCCGAACCTACCCGCTCATCTTGGTGAGCTTGATGGATTCGCGCACCAAATCAACTACAAATTACTGGCGCCTGCAATCGAATCATGTATCCCTCTGACCAAAGAACGCCTTTCGACTGACGATGTCGAGGGTATCGAGGGTCGACTTTGGCTGCTTGCATACTTGATCTTCTTTCACCGATATGCTCTTCCAGGCCAGGCCAACCTGCAAGCACCAGACCTCGGTTTCTTGAATGTGGTCTCTGGGTTACTTAACTCGACCTCTATTTATCTTACAAGGTGCTTGGAAGCGGACGAAAATGGCCTGGATCCAGTCAAGGGTCCTTATTTGGATCAGTTTGTCACAGATCAAGTCAGTAGCCTGGTGAACCAAAGTAGCATCACGGGGCTACTTTCTCGCATTAAAACGTCCCAGCTTTCTCTCACAGATTCTACAACCAACGAATACAACGCTTCGAGAGAAGCAAAAATTCTTGCCACGTACGCTCTGAACTTGCTGAGGGTGTTCCCACGGCGCGGAGATGATATTCGGATGTGGTTATACCTGGGCTCAGCGCCTTCAGCAGGTCCGGCTTCTGGCCAGCCAGGTGCGAAGACACCGGCAATCAAGTACTTTTGGCACGCATCAAAATCTAGTCAGATTTTTGAAACCATCAGCAAGGACTCGACCCAGGTTCTCCCATTGCTCCAACTGCCACAAGATGGGAATAAAGAGGATCAAGAGCAAGAGTGGACGATTATCCTGCTCTTTTTTGAGCTTTACACGTTCGTTCTGAAAGTCATGGATGACGAAGAGTTCTTTTCAAGCGCGTCACCATTTGCAGCTTCACCAAGTGTGCTGTCTTCGTGGACGAAAGAGAGTGCGCTGCCGCTGAAAGACATTAAAGACATGACTGTCTTCCTGAAGAACCTCGCCTTCACTCTATATTGGAATGTTGCCGACTTGACTAAGAAAGGGCCTGTTCCCTCTTCTGCTGTGGACCTCAGAAGTTATTTTAGCAACACAGCTCAGGTTTCTGGACCAATGGAGCGTGCTGAAGTGGAGACCAAGAAAGAAATCAATGATCTTCCTGGCGTGACAGGTATCCCACTTGACTACTTCAAAGGCTTGGTTACAGGTTTGCTCAGAATGCTGCATGAGCGAGAGTGAGTCGAAATGTTCCGTTTTCCATGATGTAGGCACTTCAGCTGACGCGCTTTTAGTTCTCGACGCAAATTCCTCCCTCCTAATCATTGGCTAATGACAGATCGATTCGACATGGAAGGCTTTATCCCAGCCGTTGTGGCAGAAGAGGAGAAACGTCATGAATTCCAGGACGACGATGGAGAGTCCGAACCTGATCTTCTTGACGAGGAATACCCGGAGCCTTCTCACCTTGTCGGCAATAGTCATGCGCGACGACTAATTCACATTCAAGCCATGCGGAATAGCCAACGAAGACAAGCACAAAACAATGCTCTGGCCGCCATTGCACCACGGCTAGAGATACTTCGAAATATGCCTTTCTTCATCCCATTTTCCACAAGAGTGCAGATCTTCCGTCAATTTATATTTAGGGACCAACAGCGTCGCCGGAAGGGCTTCGTGGATCCTGAGTCCTGGCGCCTATCTGTGGCCCAAAATGCTATGATAAATGGACCGCCTGAGGGTGCGGCAGATATCTTGGCCCGACACCACGCCGACATCCGGCGTGAGAGTGTATTTGAAGATGCATTCTCCCAATACTACGGCTTGGGTGACGGTCTCAAAGAGCCAATCCAGATCAGCTTCATTGACCAGTTTGGAGCAATGGAAGCCGGCATTGATGGTGGTGGTGTGACCAAGGAGTTCCTGACTAGTATCACTAGCCAAGCTTTCAAGACGGATGATTATGAGAGCATGTTTTCGGAAAATGATCATCATCTGCTGTATCCTAGCCCGATAGCGGTTGACCAACTCAAAAAGGTTCTCAGCGAAGCTGGACTCACAAGTTCAAGCCTAGAATGGCAGGATGACGTGCGCGGTCTTCTTCGACGATATGAATTTCTCGGCCGGATCATTGGAAAGTGTCTTTACGAGGGGATCTTGGTCGATGTCAACTTTGCACCGTTCTTCCTCTTGAAGTGGGCCTTGACAGGAGGCTCTAGGTCTGCGGTGAAGGAATCGTCCTATCGTGCCAATTTAAACGATTTGAAGGACCTAGATGAGGGACTGTACCAGGGTTTGGTAAGTAGTGTCGCCCGGCAAGCTCGGGATTATTGTTTTTTTTTTTTTTTTTTTTTTTTTTTGTAACATGCAGCTGACCAATTTGTTCCAGTTACAACTGAAAAATTATCCCGGAAATGTTGAAGACTTTGGTCTCGACTTCACCATTAACAACATAATTCGGATGCCCAGTGGAGCCAACCGCACTGTCACGGCAGAGTTGAAACCAAATGGTTCACAGACCGCTGTGACAAACAAAAACAGATTAGTCTACATTTCCTACGTGGCTCGTTACCGTCTACAGTTGCAACCTGCTCTACAGACGAACGCCTTTTTGCAAGGTCTGGGCCAGATCATTCAACCTGCCTGGCTATCCATGTTCAATCAATCCGAGTTACAAACCTTAGTGAGCGGAGACAAGGCTGATATTGATGTGGAGGATCTGCGACGGAACACCCTCTACGGAGGCGTGTATGTGATTGGTGATGACAATTTAGAACACCCGACCATTTCACTGTTCTGGCAGGTTATGCACGAGATGACCAACGAGGAGCGTCAAAAGGTCATCCGATTCGTGACGTCTACCCCTCGAGCTCCATTGCTGGGATTCAGCCACCTTCGTCCCAACTTTAGCATTAGAGACTCCAGTGAGGATCAGGAACGTTTGCCGAGCACCAGTACTTGTGTAAATCTTCTCAAGTTACCACGGTACTCTGATGCAGACACATTGAGGAGCAAGCTTTTGTATGCCGTTAGTTCGGGTGCTGGGTTTGATTTGAGTTGAAGAGGTTTTGTGTACATTTTATCTGGTAGACAGTTTACTTATGATTAATTTTTTGCATGCATAGCATGGGGTTCTTTTGGAATCTTCCGACAGTGAGATGTACTTTTATGTCCGAGGTTATACTTAATAAGCCCTTAAAGCGGCAACCCCATCCCAAATAGGACTAGTGTCCCCATCTCGTGCAGCCTCTGAGTTTTCCAGAACCAATTGCTTTTGAACGGCTCAACTTTTTTTTCTTCTCCTCTTACAACCTCCCCCTCCATCTTGTTCTCTCTTTCTTTCCAGGGAAAAGTCTTCCTTTTCTTTTCGAATCCTTAATCGAAAGATACAAAATCTCAAAAAAACACGAAAAACCCAGAAAAAGACTTTTTCCAGTTATCTTATCTCATCCCCGATTGTGCGGTGTGTTGTGTGGAAGATTTTCTTTCAACGCCTCCATCGTCTTCATTTTCACCTGGTTAGTCATTTTACTTTTTGTCCTCTCTTTGATTCCTCGTTGAAAACAGTGTCCTATCTGCTTCTTCTTTTCTCTCTTGCGCATGCAATACACTTTGATTCCCTCCCCCGCTAACCAGCCATCAGTGCTCTCTGCTCAAGTGAAATTTCTCTGAACTCTTTGTTTCGTGGATCCTTTGCTGTATGGCACCCCTCTCTTTTCATTGATTCACCCCTCGTTTTTCTCATTTCCCCTTGGTTACTTGCCAAAGAGACTGCATCAACTGCGGTGTAACCTTATCTCATATGCCTCCTTGATTCCCCCTCCCCCTCTCCGCGATAGGCTCGGTATGCACATGCTAAAACTTTTTTCTTTCTTTTCTCAGTGAAAACAGTCGCCATCATGTCTGCTGAAGCCCCCACCACCGCTCCCGTCACCGACAACGTTGTCGCCGCTGCCCCTGAGGCCAATGGCACTCCCGTCGAGGCCACTTCCGAGGCCGCCGGTGATGCCAACAACCAGCCCCACTCGGCTTCCCTCTACGTCGGCGAGCTTGACCCCTCTGTGACCGAGGCTATGCTCTACGAGCTCTTCTCTTCCATCGGTCAG